TATATAGTTCAGAACTTTTAAATATAGGTAGTAAAACTATTTTTGTCTTTGCATAATTATTGTGTTTTGGGTTAAGCATATGTGGTTTTTCTTGGAACTCTTGGGTTTCAGAACAGTTATTTCAGGCATAATGTAGACATCTGCAAACAAATCAGGAAATTCTAATCAGAATGTAGAAAACAATTTCTAGGATCCCAATAAAAATAGATTTTATCCATCATTCTACATCCAAGAATGACAAGCCTACCAAAAATAGAAAATGTACAAGGCATTGTAAATTAATCAAATCCTTATGTTTCTTTGTATATGCACACAGATATCTCAATACAAAAAAAAATCTTCTTTTTAGAAAGACAGGTAGATATACAGGCAAGCAGAAAAACGCTAGATTTGACTGGTGGGAACAAGGCTAGACTGTGGTCAAAACAAGGAACTGTCTCCCCACAAAATAGTTGTGCTTGGTCCACAAGGTGCCAATACCACTCAGTTCAAGTGTTCAAAGAAGACAGAACCATGGTTGTCAGAATTCTATACTGGAATTCTGTATCCGTCTCACAGAGAAATGTGTCTATCAGGCATCTGTGGTGGAGCAGAAAGAGAAAGAAAAATTCCTCAAAGCACAAAAATATCAAATGACTCTCTTCGTCCCTTCCTTTCTACCCTTTGTCTTGCTTATCAATAACCTTGCATGCTCTGGCTTCCATTGCTTACTGCCTGCTCACAGCGTTTCTTCAATTTTTCCTCCGTGCCTAGAAGCTGTAGATTATAGCCACATAGTTAAGAACTATGCTTCTTCTAGCTGCCAATTATTTACCATCATATATTTGTTCCACAAACAATCGCCAATTCATTCAAATAATTATTGTCCATAATTTCCTCAGTACACTAACCTTGCCAGGAAGAATTTTGGTAGTGTGTGTATATCTGTGTGGTTCTGTGTGGTTCTGCCCATGATATCTAATTAAAATGATAATATGACATTTGTGTTCTTGGCACGGTGCCTCCTGAGTTGGCTACTCTTTTTCCTGTGCCAAAACAATGCCAAAGGAGCACACACTGCTAATTAAGAGGTGAAGAAAGCTGGCTTGAAGTCAGCAGCCCCATTGCCTTGACTTTTATGGAGACGGGAAACGGCTGAGTTTTAACGGAATCCTGCTCAAATAGGAGTTATGGGTCAAACACATAAATGACATGATCCACAGATTTAATGAGCCAGTATATCTTTCAGATTCATAAAAGAAATTGGCATCATTGACTTTGATTCAAAAATAAATTCTACATCCAGATAAGTTTGAAATGGTACACTGTGTCACTTATTAAAAATTAACAACCCTGTGTATTTTATTTTAAAAAAATAAGAATGTAAGAATGTAATTATATTAGTGGATTTGCACAAATAGATCAGATTTACTAACAGGTCCCAAGCACAGACAAGTGAGATGAGTGATGTGTCCAATGCGTATTAAACCTGAAATCAAAAAGGAACAATCTCTACTCTTGTGCAGCCCCCAAATTTTAGGTGACTTTGTGTGTTCTGAGTGTCTCCTTGCCAGGCACAAAAACATGTGAATGCCTCCTGTCTCTTTGAGTTTCTGAAGGCACAAACAAATGGAAACTCCCTTTTCTACTCTAGAACTGGGCAGGGGAGACAAGGGCAATGAGACTTACGTCTGCCCCTGACAGATGCCCTGAGTTCAGAGCTACTAGCAAGTGCAGGAGTAGAGAAAGCCAATGTACTGACAGCTCACTGTTACATCTTTCCCCTAGAGAAGAAGGAGGCACACACATGTTCTAACATCCAAATACCTATTGAACTTAAGGGCCGAATGAGCCATCTCCTTTCTTCTGCTCTGAAATGCAGGGGGTTTCTGACTCCACCTTTCTAGCACCAAATTCTTGCTGTTTATTTCTTACCCACCTCTCCCTATGGATCCAGATGGAGAATGATAGCTTAAAATACAGCAACAAATAAACATATCACACTGTAAAGAACACAAATACCAATTAAAAAAACATAAACAGCTAAAGAGTTTTAAAAACATACATATGGCAAACAATCCATTAATAATTTAAAACTCCTAATTTAAAAACTATCAGGATAATTCCACCAGAAGAGATTGGTTTTTAATGCAGTTTTAAACTCAGATCACATATCTAGCCCTTGATTCTCTTCTGGCAGATCATTTCACCATTTCAGGGCAGTGGAACAAAAAATTCCCTGGTTAACAGTCTCCCGAGAAGACCTGAGTATATGGCTTGTTTTATATTGGAATAATGTGATCTTATAGGTAACTTGATTCCAAACCACGTAGGGCTTTAGAGATAAATACATAGTAAGTTTTAATAACAGGTGGAGTGATAACTTCATTTCTTTTTCAAATGGGACAAGGCTGGCTGGTTATCTCTCTCAAAAATTGACACAGCTGCTCGAATGAATGACTCCTTCTATAATGTCTAAATAAGGCTGCATAACTCATGGGCCTCCATACGTTTTGGACTTCAGCTCCCAAAATTCTTGACCATTGAACAAATTGGTTAGGGCTTCTGGGAGTTGGAGTCCCAAATACCTGGAGGGCCACATCAACAATTATGCATTTAAAAAAACTAGGTTACTCGCTTTGATCTCCAGGACAATTTCTTCATTTCTTTTTCCCTAGCTGCTGTGGTGCTGCTTGGCTACCTCCCTCTCTCTTTGGTCAGTCAGTGGCTGAAGCAGCTATCTCATCCCTTTGAGCTTGAAACTTGACATCTGCTTCATGGGTGTCTATTATTTATTTATTTTTGTATACATTTATGTCTATTATACATTTATTTATTTATTGCATGGAAGGTTCCAAAACCTTTGCAGCTTCTCATAAAGTCAATCGGCAAGAAGAAAATGTTTAACCTTCTTCTTCCTTATATGCATAAATGAAATAAGCAAAGATTTAAATTCATGCAAGGTTACATACATAAAACATATCAAAACAATACTTGTTTAATATGCCAACTTACTCCCAAAGCAGGCTTCAGGGCCTCAATTTTATGTTTCCCTTAACATTTAAGAACAACTGAAATAAAAATATTTATAAAATATTTTAAAGCAATGAAAACATACAAAAGTTTTTAAAAAAAATAAATAAATAAAACAACCTCAACGAAGAGCACATAATAACAACACACAATAAAATTGAGAGAAATAATTTGTCAGGCTGCTAAAAATATTGCTATTATGTGCCATCTGTGATATACATCTCTCACAGTTTATAGAGGGCAAGCAGGGGCAAGGTTTATTCAAAGGATATTTGCCATTCCCTTCCTGTAAGTCTTAAGAAAGTATGACTGACTTGTCCACGGTCGCTTAACAGAACAATAATTCATGCCCTAGTCTCCTGGAGTCCTAGATGATTATGATGATGACGACATTATTACTCCACCATCAGTATACTACACCTCCGCTTTTTCTGCTAAAACCACCAACATTTGAAATATAACAGCAATTAAAAGGAGCTAACTCACTACAGAAAAGTCTACAGTGTGTCAGCTAAGTGCATTCAGGAGGCATTGCAAAATGCGGGTGCTACCACAAAATCTTAATTTATCAGTTAATACTTCAAGGGACAATTTTGAGCCAGGGAGATTATGCACATGATAGTGCTCTCTGGAAACACAGCAGGCCAGCCTAGGGTGCCAATTAGAAGAAATAAGGTATGCCAGAGTTCCACTGGGGAATGCTTTGGAATTGATTGATTTCCACTAATAACAATGAAGCTTGGGAGAGCCCAGTTTTCTTTGGATTTCATCCACATAATATTGCTGTAGATAGTGATAGAGGCCCTGCTCAGATTTACCGTACTGCGGGCAATTAGTTATCACAATCTATAATAATAGGAGGTTTCCTCCATATCTTTTCTGCAGAAATTTCTGTAGAAATTTCATTCAGTGCTGCTGCTGTTGTTGCCTCATTTCAAGGCAAGCTCTTTTAAAAGCATCTCTTATTTCACTGGAACTGAGAAGGGAAGGTCACTCTGAATTCATCTAACAGAACTCAAATCGCACATCAATGTGTTTCTCATGGACGAGATATTACAGCTTTGGCATTCTTCCCTGTCTCTAACCATTACTTCAAGATAATAAGACAAGAACAATAAGAAGAAAGTGTGTCATACTTTGAAGACAAAGAGTTCTGACTCACAGCAGCTATTGTTCTCTTTCTTTAATAAAAAAATTTACAAAAGCAGAATCATCACTCACTTAGACATGACTGCACATTTGGCTATCCCACTGCAAATAGCTGCCCATGTAAGTAATTGCACACATGGAGAATGTAATGTTCAAGGAACAAATCCATGTAAGACTGCTCCCTCTTTGACGTAACTAGAAAAATTGCAAGCTATTTCACCATTTCAGGGCAGTGGCTTCTTACACTTTTCACTCAGAACACCTGTGACCTGAGAAAATTTTATATAACCCAAGGTATAAAATCCAAACATTTATTGATAACAAATCAGCATTTGCAAAGTTTGTTAAACAGGCTGATTTTCCTTTGCATGAAGTACAGCTGAAGCATCTTCTGCAGAGTCCACTGTCTGTAAACATTAAACAACAAATTCATATAAATGTCTAAAACAGATACTAGTGACGTTTAACTTTTACAGTTGCCAAATTTTTCATGACTCCAGCATAGAGCCATTCGGGGTCCAGACCCACGTTTAAGGAGCATTGGCCTAGTGATGTAGAAGATAAGATCATCAGACGACCACAGTATGGACTGACTTTCAGCATTCATTGCCAAATGATGAATTTGCCATGTGGAATGGGCTTTTATATATGTGACCCACTTAGCAGAGGCATGGCTGAAAATGGGCGTATGCTGACAATAAGCCATGAGGATCACAAGATGAAAAGACAACTTAAAGCCCTAAGCTGAATTATGATTTGAGACAAAATAAAATCATGTCATTGAACTGATCAGTTTCATTGTGCGATTTTAGAAATAATGCCTCTGTGTTTTGTTTCAGCTCTTTGTAAACCAAAGTGCCAGTTTGGGGGCAGATGTATCAAGCCAAATGTGTGTTCGTGCAGAAATGGATATGGTGGTCCAGATTGTGGAAAGAAGGTAAGATTATTGTAAATGTCATGATTCATTTAGTTTTAAACAAAGGAAAAGAGTATCAACCACTATCCCAACCTGCACCTGCTTAATATCCCATCTCCCTCTCAATAACTGCCCAGCAATAGTAAACCAATGTATTTCACAATCAATGAGCATAGCTTTAGAACATTCAGTTCTATATTACAAACAAGGAAAATCAAGCTAGAGATAAAAAAAAATTGAGAGGAGTAGAACAGAAGGGGAGAGGGAAACAAAGGCAAAATGACATCAAAACAGAAGATTTTGTCTGGAAAACATTTCCAGGAATGATGATTAAATGCTTAAGATTTCTTCAGCTTGCATCTTACATATGATATCCAGTTTTGTGGCCAAGTCCAAGTTTAATTCCAGGGATTTGTTCTCCTGGCTAGGACTTCTGTCATTTGCAGTCTAAAAGGGTCTGGAATTTGCAGTTCCCACAATTCCCATTTCCCATAAGTCCATTTGCTTGCCCCAACCTGAGTAAGCCCACTGAAGCAACTGCACAATGGTATTTAAATCCTATTGATTCAATTGATCTATTTTAGTTGGAAATAGCACCTGGAGTCCAGCACAAGATATAATCTCTCTGTCATTCCACATGTGCTCAGTAATAACATCTCCTTGCCAACATGGCTGCCTGATAACTATTTATGAAAGTACTAAAGCAGTACAGCTAAAACCTTTGTATTCCATATGGAGGAAATGGACACGCATTGATAGACAGGCAAACTTTCTTGGCCTTTTTTTCTGTAGTTTATGGAATCTTGTCAACCCTGCTTGACTATATTTAGTATTCACAGGGAAATCATAGTATTTCCCCCTCTACTTGGATAATATGGTATGAGACATTATGACAGCCTTTTCACATTCAATATTCTGGAAGTGGGGTCACATTTTTCTACTCCAAATTACAGTTATTGACGCATTTCATTGACAATGACATTCTCCAAGGAAAATAAAACTTTTATATTGACATTGGCATGCAGCAGATGCAGATAAGATAAAGCAAGACTCATTGTAATTTTCATACTCCATACACACTATTTAAACTGGTCAACTGTAGCCAGGGGTGATTGGAGAAAGAAAATACACCTTGCATTTCATGAAGCACTTTACCTCCTATCCCACTTTGACGCCCTAGATTTTTGTGAGAGAAATCAACTCAATTGATGGTTTGCATGTGCTTAAATTCAGAAAGGTTTTTTCATGGTACAGTGAGAGCTGACCTTTTTGTTATATCAAAACCCAAAATTATCAGGTTTGTTTTCAGAGCATTGCTATGATTACAAATGTGCTATATGAAATCTGTCAGCTCACAAATGAAGTGGAACTTTGCTGCACTTTGTAGAAAATAGCAGATCAAATGCTGAGCATCCATTTTTCCTATCACTGAACCACTGCACAGTAAATAGAATTTAGAGAAGCTTTAGGAGGAGCTTTAGAACATGAGAAATATTATACTGCTGGGTCAGTGCAGTGGTCTCACTTGCTCAGTTTATCTTGTCATCAACAAAAGTCAGTTCAAAAAAGAAAATTGCAACCCCCTTCTAAGCATCTTTAAGTTGGAGGGAAGTCCAGCTGAATTCAATGAGAGGATCTTTCTAGTAGGCATATTGGATGACAAGTGAAAATAACAGCCGGCCATTAAAATCTGTTCAAATACTGAAATTTGTGGTAGGTCCTGAACTTTCAAAAATTGAACAACTTGTCATATGTACAAAAACATTATGTCGTAACCATGTACCTATACATACATACATACATACATACATATATATATATATATATATGATTAGCAGAACTACATAGATAAGGGGTGAGGCTATGGAGAGGAAGACTGGACTCAGGTCTGTCAGCTTCCAACAATTTTCCAGTGATATCACTTTGATAAAAATAGAAACAGGTTCCTTGGCCAAAAGAAGGACAGAGCACAAGTACACAACTTTCTTAATACATACACTTATCAGTGTGGACAATATTCCACTGTACAATTCTTATGAATAATATTTTCTTCTATCTACCAAATTCATTAGTAGTTGTTTTTATAAGGTTTTCATAAAGTTGGGGGAAAATATATCCACATTGCTGAAATGTTGGTTGGAATGACCTGTTTTGGCAAGGAAGGAAAATTCAGTGAGGATTTGTTGGTAGATCTTCTCTCAAAACAAGACTAAAACACTAAACATTTGTTTTCTGTTATATTCTCCTTACTTTGTGCAAAACATGTATCTATTCATTTTGAAGCTAACAACATATGCAAATAGCAAAGCACACAAAGTTGAGATGAGTGACCAGTAATGCACAGAAAACACATCCAGTATTACTATATTTGTGAGTCCCCTCAACAAGACAACATTTATTGCTTTCTTTAGGCTGGCATATATGACAGAAATGCACAAAGAATAATCTTGAAGCCATGAACATTCTCACTGGTACTGTGACACACAGAGAGAGATTTTGCCATCATGAGAAGAATTGAGAAGAATTCCTGTATTTATTTTTGCACTCTCCTATTTACCATGAGGAGGAATTCAGAATTGTAGGCCTATTTATATACTTGATGCTAGGAGTGGACAAGTTATCAGGAAAAAATTTGACCAATACTTGAATTATTTATTGAAATAGGACAAAACAGAGACAGAGATAGTGAGAAGTGTTACTTTGAAACTTCTAACCTGTGTAGGCATGTTTTTTTTTTTTTACAAACTCTTCAATTATTATGAAAGTTAAATAGTTAATTGTGGAAATGCCTTATCTTCAAGCGAGGGAAAACAAGACCTAGTTAAGTGCTTTAATATACATTCCACCACTGTTCAAAATCTTGTTCATATTTATATAATGAAGTTGTCTACAATTGTTTCCATTGTTTTTAACTGAGTTTAGTCATATTACTTAACTTTACAACTCGGAGTGCAGCCATTTTCATATATTGTTTTTTGTGGCCAATACACTAGCTTCAATAAACATTGGACTATATTTCTCTTATTTATCTACAATATATTTTTATCTTGCTATTCTTATCCCTAAAAAGAGTAGCTCAGGGCAAATATAGATTAAGTGTAGAGATGGCAATTGATGCAATGGTGACACTAATTAAAAAACAGTAACAGATCAAAAGCAGCAATGAACACAACAAAACTAATAATAAATTAATACATTCAATAAACTGAAAACCCTCACCCAGAACTCAATGTAATGCCAAAAACATAAAGGTTAAATCTCAGTTGAGATAACCTCTTTCCCTGTGTTAGACATAAAAATACAAAGAAAATTTCGAAACCTTCTTGTTCTCAATCAGAAAGATTGTCTAAACACACCAAAACAACTTTTCATGAAATGGTCAACTGCTGTGAGAATTTTTCCCACATTTGGAGCACTTTTCTGTGAAAAAATCATTTGTGCAGAAACTTAGTTTTACACAAAAACCTGTTTTGCACAGAAAACTGCATTTTTCTAAAGATATTAATTTTGCAAAAATATTGTTTCTTACTCAAACAAGTCTTTTGAACAAACACAATTTTGCAAACCAAATTCTGATTTTTTTTTTAAATCACCAAATGTCCTCAAGCCTCTCATAGGGTTCATCCACACTTAAAGCAGTTTGACACCACTTTAACTACCATGATTCCATGCTATGGAATCCTGGGCGCTGTAGTTTTAAAAGGCCTTTAACCTTCTCTGCCAAACTACATCTCCCAGGATTCCATATGGAGTCATGGCAGTCATGGGGGTGTCAAACTGTATTAATTCTACAGCGTAGGTGTACCCATAATCTCATTCAGCAAATAATTTGTAGTGCATTTATTATATCTCTGCAATTGCTATTTTAACTAGGGTTATAATTTATCCTTATCTCTGAAAAAAGAAGCATCAACCCCACACACAATTCTGACTTTAATCACTACATTATGTTTGAAGTTAGGTCTTTTCTGTTAGACTGACACCACTATAGTGAAAATAACCTATCCTGACTCTCTGCTCCCTTAACTAATATCTTCTTGGTTAAATCTTTCATTCTTCCATCAAACAATACTGCTTTTGAAGATATTCTCACATGAAGAAAGGCTCCTCACACCTTGGTCCATCTTTCTTTTGCACCCCTCTTCCCTGTATGATCATGAAGCTGTAGGAAGAATTCCATGAAAGGGCTTTTGTCAGGATTTTCATTGTCAGGGATTTTCATACTTGAGGAGGACCTTTCTAGTGTTTTTCCTAAATGTTCTTTTCATTTGCTCTCTCTACAAAATACCACCTCTACTTGTAAGATATATAATTGCAAAATGCCTTAAATATAGAAGGCATTAATCTGTAATCTCTTGAAACCAACACAAAGATCAGTATAGAAGCTATCATAATGCTGCACACCAGCTATAATCATTTATTTATTTGCTTATTGATTGTTCCACCTCTTTCTCAAAAGACTCAACTAACAATTAGCACAAGTCTTTTTGGAAGAGAGCTGTAACCATTTGATGCCCTGGAAATATCCTCAGTTTCCCTTGATTAGTGGAAAGTAGATCAGCAAGAAGTTGACTGGCAGAAACACTAGTGATCATTGAAAGAATGATGATGTGGTACCCACAAAAGCCAGACATCTACTTCTCCATCACAAGGAAAATGCCTTCCTGATACAATATATTGTGTTTAACTGATACTAGGTTTTTGCTTTGAATATGGCCTTTTCACAAGTCTCTGTCTATCAATGATAGGATTAGACAGGTCCTCATGAAAATATTCCAGCTTGTCCAAAGAGAATTCTAGTCTGAAAATATTGCTGTAATTTGCATTCTTTATTCTTTTGTAGTTTTGCTTTGGTAGAAAATAGGCTCTGAAAAGTAAGGCAAATAAGCCTTAATCATTACTGATCTAGAGTAATTGATTGATCTGAGCTTCTGACCCAAGAGGGAGAAACTGTCTCAAAAGGTTTACAGTGAACTCCAGAAACCAGGGCAAATAGGAATTCATGAGAAGCAATGTTCTTTTCACACTGAACTGGTTGAAGGCCAAAGTCATGTGTAATTGCATCTCTGCACTAAGTGAATACCTATCCCTCTTCTCATTTACACTTAGAAAGTGTAAAGTAATCACTGGATAGACAAGTTAGAATATTGACTTCTCTCTCCTGAAACAACCTGCTTGTCTCAGTGACCAGTTGATAGCACTAAAAGTTGTAACTCCATATTTTCACCAAAGCTCTGACAACTTCTGGATCAAAAAAGAAGAACAGTCAGGGGAAAACCACAAGTCATTATAGATTTTTTTTTCTCATTGAAAATTTCTATATGTTGAAATATTACTTTACATACAGAAAAACTATTTGCTATAAAAATTAAAAACAGGCATGCCCATGAAGTTTGTATAGAATAAGTCCCAAATTGCAAAGATTCTCATCAGTTTGAGATTCTTCTCATGACCTTTAACCTTTTAGAAATATTTTTAAATATTCTTTTCACCTCTAACAACAGGTACTGGCAACTTTTCTCAAGGAAAGAGGGGTCTATGGTGACATATTTCTTCAATAATACTTCCTTTCTTTTAGCACTTCTTCTTTACATTTGATTGAAATATAATGATGGAACCATACATTATGAGCATAACAACACAAGTTAGAGGTTCTGTGTACTTGTATGAATGATAGAATTGTGGGAAGGCAAGATATCTTTTTGTGTGGATGAGTTAAAATATATGGATCTTCTTTGTGGGGTAGGTTTAGCAGAAGATAATTTTGCACAAACATATGACTATATTTGGACACTCTTTGACATCATCCATGCATGCACATGTATCTCTTCTCATCATTTATCTACCTCATGAAAGAGCAGGAAAGTGACTATTTCTCAAAACACAGAAGCTGGGGTCAGGGGATTGCATTCACTTGACTGATTCTCCCCTTTGGTTGAACAATATATACTTCAAAAGGAAAACAACAACAACCCAAGATCTATGAGCTTGTTTACATTGTTGAGTGATTGCCAGTACATTTTTTGACATTTTTACTTTAATTTGTTTCTGAGTTCTGCTAAGAAATGCTTGCCAAATGCATTCCTGGAGGGATAATGAACTTTCTAGTACAGCAATCATTCTTTTATTTTATTTTTTAAAACCCTGTTGTATATTTTGAACATGTATGGAATGTTTGCAAGATTCAGATAATATACTAGTTTTGGAAATAAACAGGAAGACAAATGCCCTTGCTAGCTTCCCAAATCAAAACTGTCAGATTGGCTAGATGTTGTCATGAAAGAGAAAAACATGCCAACAAGCAAGCCAAGTACAGAGAGGGATGTTATTAAAAGAACATCTAATAACCTCACTAGCAAAATTAAAAGATAAATGGTTTTAAAACCTTCATATAAAACACAGAAATATAATCAAACAGGTGAATGATTCATGTAATATACATACATACATACAAACATAAACACACCAGGAACCTTTCTTGAAATTTGCAGCTTTTTTTTGGAGTTGTTGCAAGATTTTTGGATCTTCGAGGGTTTCACATCCAGTTTCATTCTTCTCACACAGGTTGCATCTACACTCCCAAATACTGCAGTGTGGGTATTGCATTATTCTGGTGTGTCCAATGCACACAAACGGATTTGATTTAACTCAGGGGCAAGTCACTTAATGAAGTTGCATCCTGGGTTAAAATCATCAGGGAAAGTCCGATTTGGGGTGCTGGGGTTATTGGAATCTTGCCTCATTCCCAGACCTGCTGAACTGGCTCCAGTATAGTGTGGCTTAGAACCAGCATTTTCCATGCCTGTGCCAATCCACATTACGTGCCTGTGTAGAGGGGCCCATAATTTACTTTCCTAATAGAATTTGTTTGCAAACGTGTGAGATGTGTGTGGGGGGCGTTAATGGTGAAAAAAAGCCACACATCCCTCACAAAATGGAAAAAATATTAATAAAGAATGTACTAAAACTATTGATGGATAATTATAATAACAAACCTTAAACTTAGTTATCTGGCTTTTGTGTTTATTAAATGACATAGGTTTGAGTATTTATTATAAAGTATTGTGGATGTTCTACCATGTCTTTCTGGAAATAACCCAGAGTGTATCTTATTTACAGATGTTTTATCCTGAAGGGGATGGGAGGAGGGGGTCAGCTCCATGGTGGTTGCAAAGGGCACCTTGTCTTGTTGAAACCTAGCAATGAATATAATGCTAACCGAGTCTGAGTCCACACGGGAGCCCCATGTAGAGTAAATCCATTCAATCAATTTACTTATGTTCTGACTCTACATTCAACATTTAACAAAATAGTTCTTATCTAATTGGGGCTACCAAAATGGGACAAAACAAAAGTCTGACCCAAAGTACAGTAATTTCTTATATTCCTTTGGTTAGGTTGTGTGAGGTTATAACCCAAGTAGTTTATCCCTGAACAAGGCCAGTGCACTGATTTTGTAAACACCATAACAGCCTCTTCTCACATAACATGTCTGAGTGAGCCTATGAGATCAAGTGTGTGCGTGTGTGTGTGTGTGTGTGTGTGGGGGGGGTATATTGGAGAAATGTGACAAGGATTTGGAAAGGCATAGAGGTAGAGGTAGAGATAGTTTGTTTTAAAAAGTACAATTTGAGAAATCACCCACTAAACCCCATCCATTTGATCTGCATTATATAGAACAATACTTGCCTTACAGAATTATTGTGAGGTTTGTAACTGAGTAATACACATGAAGTACTAGGAACACCTCAAAGCAACATAAAACATGATATATTTCTGTATTAAATTATAGGAAAACAGCTGTTTCTTCTGAAATATTGTATCCTAAATCCAATTGCAATAGCTGAAGCAGCTATTGAATCAATAGCTGACTAGTATGTCTGTGGGTTGTTGATGATGCAGTGTTTAATTCATAGAAAAGTCAACCTGATGGCTTTTAGCAACAACAAATTCAACATAAATAAAGCTAACCATTTTTATCAGTCTACTCTACTTGGAGCTAGCAATTGGATCTAGGTCTACGTCTCCATGTTTGCTCATGAAATACTACATTCTGTAGCATCATAGATTGTGTATGCCAGTGTGAACTTGTGAATTACAGTTACAGTTAGATTCAGTCTTCTTGTCCCAGAATTAAAACCTCTAAACACTTCTTTCATATTCTGTGAAGCTTAATGGAACTATTTCCCACATGCTCATGTGTTTCTTCAAAATAAAAACTCTTGCTACTATTTCATCTCTTGTTTGAAGGATTGAGAAGATTCACTTCCAACTCTTAAACCAAGATGATATTTAATGACAAACCTCTGTAGTGTAGAACTGGGCTAAACACATTCAAACTGTTATAGGCAAGGTGTCAACAAAGTCCCCATGTCATATGGAGAATAGCAAATTGGTTTTGTAGACACCCCTGCTTTAGAGGAAGGAAATTTAATTCTGGCTTACGAACTGTCAGCCTCACTGCAAATAATAGAGTCAAAGCCAAACGGTTACAGCAATATAGCTATTTTCTCCTGTTGGAATGATGGAGGTGAAATCAACCATTGCTAGATTATATCCTAGTAGGTACGTGTTTTGGAAACAGATCTATCACTTTGTTGTAGAATGAAGAATGAGGCTCCAGGCGAAATTATTGTACTGTTATTAAACTTGAGGTAAATACTCTGGTTGTCTGGCTTTGATCAAATTGTGAAATGTGGAGTCGTTACAGGATGGCCATAATTAAATTGAAAAGAAACAAGGGAAGTGGGTGAGGAAGAAACATCTTAGAAAAGGCAATCCCAGGAATATATTTGAATGCTTCAAATTAAAAGTTGTTTGATGACACTCTGGGCATAGGCTGTTTGTCACCCAAACTCTTCTGCAGCTGAATACTCATTTCTCTTTCACAGCTCCCTAAAGGATGAAGAAAACAAAAGAAAGACAATGAAGACATTCATTTTGGGATGCTAAGGCACTTTGTTTTCTATGTAAGGGTTGGCTGGCAATGCACTGCAAAGAGAATGCTAAATTTCTTCCTCCTGTGTCMCTTCACTACAAGCATTAAGTCATGTCAAGAAATTACCRATTCCAGAGCATACTCTAACAGCTTTAGCTAGTTGCCAATGTCACATCAGGTGACACCCYTCTCAATCTCAATTTTTTTTTTCTTCTGCAGCACACTGCCATTACCTTGGCTATTCAATGAATGCAAGTGACAAATTCAATGGTAACTCCAAGACTGCTGAAGAAAGGCTGCCGTTTTTGCTAGYTTTAGATTYCTTGAAATGGCCCAAACTGAAAGTGATAAGAAATCCCCCTATTCCATTCCTTATGTTTCTTTTGTTCACTCCAGSGTAGTGTGTGTGTGTGTGCATGTGCCTTGAAGTCTCCTGTTGAGTTATGTCAACCCCATGGGTTTTCTTAGACAAAAAAATACTCAAGAGTGGTTTTGCCACTTCCATCCTCTGAAATGTAGGTAAGGTAAAGGTACCTACATTTACCTACCTACCTACCTACCTACCTACCTACCTAAGTGGTCTCCCATCCAGATACTAGCCAGGAAATTGTGCCTTTAAGGTATTCATATGCACATCTCACTTCTCTTACTCCAACCTAGAGAATCCCTAAAATTAATTCCAGAACTGAAGTATGCAGTTTGCCTCAGCTTTCTGTTCACTGCTTACCTCTTCCTACAAGATTACCAATATCCATTTATGCATTGATAAAATATTATAGGCTGAGAACACCAGTTTCAATTTAGCCAAATGCATGATAATATCAGGTTTCTAAAACATGGTTTTACATTGGTGCAAGAATGCCTGTGCCTATCAATAAAAATTGTTGATTAATGTAAGAAACTATAGTGGATCTCTCAAGCAGAGTAACTAATGTGCTAGGCAGAAGTTAAAACAGTTCACCAGCCCACTCCACCTGAAATGCAATGTCTAGCAGAGAAAGACGTCACATGCAGTTTTCTTTATAAGGTATTTCAAAGTAGTTTCACTCATGTGCATAATCAACACAAGTTCATCTTCTAGAAGAAAGGTAAGAAAAGGATGAATACTGCATGGTATCACAAAATGTGGATCATCTCACCAGATAGAGGATAGAGATGGGAAGAGTGAGTGCAGGTAAAACTTCAGAAAACAAAGCAAAGCTATGTGATTCAGGAAGATAGCAAATGTGGACAGAAATCTATACAAACAGGAAGTTGGCAAAAATATGCTGTCCTTAAACTCCTAGACAGTGCCATATTATCTGACAACCACTGAGAATTGGAATGCGGAGATTGCTAACTCTAACACAATTATTGTACCTACATCATAAGGCCTTGACTTGGGAACCTCAACAAGTGGGAACCCAAACCTCTAAGAACTAATTTTTTAAAAAGAGTCAAGGGTCTTCATGTTCATGTTCTAGGCAAAAAGGAAGTGAAGAGCAGGCTAAAATATTCTAATTTCTTATTTCCATTTTGATTGTCAAGCATTCAAAGTAAAAAGTAAGTTAATCTAATTAAATATTTTTCAATTGATACTTCATAAGGTATCTTACAGGAAAAGGTTATGTCCATCAAATTCAATTCACATTCCTTTAATTTTTTTGTTAAATAATGAGGGAGAGGAAATTGAAGACATCAACCTTTAAGTAACATGCATTTGTTCAAAAACTGAAAGGTGTACTTACATGCATCCAAACAATCTCCAAGTGAGCAAATACTTCCAGATAGAAAATTTTAGTTATCAATGATATGGCTATTATTTAATGTAACTTTAACAATGCACCAAGGGCATGTCTATATGGACCAAATGCATCTAGGGCTTTATGCTTTAAACCAATTTTGTCTCACTTTGGGCAACACCAAGAGATAGCCAAGATTTTTCTTGACATTCTGGAGTGTATCAGGACTTTGATGCAGTCTGGAAATCTGGATTGGATCCAATTAGGCCTGATCCCCTGTCCAGCTGGACCCAGGTGCCATTACTCTTGTGTCTGTTCTGACATCAGCAGAGGTGACCAGGATGACCAGGCACTTAGTTGGAGCTCCATAACTAGCTAGGAGAGATGCCATTTTGTTTTGAATCTCACCAGCCTCCAAAGTACTTAGTGAGACTAATGATATTTCTTCTGGTAGGCCATAGAGCTTCAAGTTCCTGGCCACCACAGTTGCCTTTGCTTATGTCAGAATAGGGTGCCTGTGTGTCCTAGAAAACAGAGGAAAGATAAATCCTCTCCTTCTTGCTGGTCATGCAGGTGTCCTATTCTGACATCAACAGAGGAAACTCTTGTCAGGTGCTTATACAGAGCACCATGCTTACCAAGAGTGGTGGTGATGGCTACACAGAGAAGACAGCCCTGCATGGCCAGTGTGGTCCCAGAACATCTAAATGATGGCATCAGATTCAGCACATACATGCTGGATTTTGATTAGTTCTAGGACAGATTACACCAAGGTAAGATGCCCATTGTAGATGAGCCCCTAATTTCCTTAGGAGATGCCAATTAATATTGCTATAGTAACTTGACCTTTACAACATGGTTACAAACTGTAGCAGCTTACAGAGCCCCCCACCCATCCCTCTAAACAGGGTTGGGGATAAAGAAAAACAAGGGAAGAAATCAAAGTCAGTAAGTGCAACAAGATCATGATCCATAGAAGGATTCATTCAAGGTGAATATTTATGCTTCCATTGGTAGAGCATAAAGTGTTTTCCTGCAGTAAACTAGAAAAACATTTCATGTGACTGATGATCTATAAAATGATCACTTCAGTTCTTCAACAGCCAGTCATTTAAATGCAGTAGCACATTGGTGAACTCGAATACTGTTGAGAAGATTTTTGTAAACCTTTTACGTCACACCTTTTGAGTACACATTCCCACAAGCTTTTGAATCACCAGTTATAGAATCTTTTACAATAAATAAGTTCAGATCCTCACTGAATTGTATTAATAACAACAGTAATAAACAAGGAATATTACTATTTCCTAAAGTGTTTTTCCTACTGAAACTAAGTTTAACTCTATGACAATTGTTGCCTTCCCTTTTCTTATCAGCACAATGTTTGTTTCACAATATTTCTGTGTAGATAAACAGGTTTTTATGTAATGGCACTGTTTTACAAATAAATATTTTTTTCTCTTAACTCTTACTCTCAGTTCTACTTTCTCCAATTTTCATTCATTATTACCATCTACAAAACAAGATGAAAGAAATATAAAGCATAAAAAGTTTATGGCATTCAAGTGCTACTACATGTTGTTACAGATAAATGCAATATTTGATTTACACCAGAATTGTGATAGTATATTCACTAATTGTACATCTATACCAGGGGTCCCCAAACTAAGGCCCGGGGGCCGGATATGGCCCTCCAAGGTCATTTACCCAGCCGTCACTCAGAGTCAACCTAAGTCTGAAATGACTTGAAAGCACACAACAACAACAATCCTGTCTCATCAGCCAAAAGCAGGCCCACACTTCCCATTGAAATACTAATAATTTTATATTTGTTAAAAATTTTCTTCATTTTAATTATTGAATTATTTTAAGTGCATTTTGCACTACAAATAAGATATGTGCAGTGTGCATAGGAATTCATTCATGCTTTTTTCAAATTATAATCTGGCCCTCCAGTACTTTGAGGGACTGTGACCTGGCCCTCTGTTTAAAAAGTTTGAGGACTCCTGATCTATACTGTGTTCCTTTAAATAATGGAACTGCATTTCTACAAAACAAGGTGAAAGAAATATAAAGCATAAAAAGCTTGTGAGATTCAAGTGCTACTGCATGTTGTTACAGATAAATGCAATATTTGATTTACACCAGAATTGTGATAGTAGATTCACTAATTGTTCACCTATACTGTGTTCCTTTAAAGAATAGAACTGCATTTCTATGGATTGCCTAGCACTGAGTTACAGTGACTTAAGAACTGAGCTCAAAAGTTCAGTTCAGTGTTTCCAGGAAGGCACTGGAGCAGAAGGTTGGCAACAGATGAGTGATGAAAGATTTAATTTAGGACAGCAATTATGTCTTTCTTCAACTACAGGGGGAATCGATTAAAAAAAAAGTTCTATTACCTTGCTTCCATTATGGCTATGATGGGCAGTGCTGATGAAGAGGAAGGTCTTGCCAAGTTTGGATTTGGGACTGAAAGCAGATTTCATTCCCACAGTACAACTCACTATAATTTTAGAATGGACTACTTAAGTTAATGTGCCTCATTGTTTGTTTTTTAAATAACTAAATTGAATCTATATTGGAAATGAGTTGGAAAGAGAGAAAAGAGACAGAAAACAAAGGGAGAATGGGAGAGATTGCCAAGAAAGAGACCAAACAATGACTTTCAAATTTTGTAAACAGAGGACGTATTCACTACCTCAAATAAATATAATAAATAAAGCCGCCTTGTCACTTCATGTCTATAATTATTTTGGAAAGAAAATTACAAAATTACTCATAAACACAAACATACACACAGTGAGAAACTGAGAGATTGAAAAGCACATGTATCTTAGCCATATTTTCTGACTGTTAAATATGTTTAGTGATAGGCAAACTTCCCTCAGATCAGTTCAGAATATGTTGCATATTTAAAAAGCTTTCTGAGTGAATATTTTAAAGGAGAGAAATCCCATTTCTCAAACACCCTGCACAAATGCACATTGTTGTGCTGCTCTTGAAGAACGATCATACCTAGTATCAGTTACAGCAGAAATTAACATGGTAAATCAAATGTCACAACCAAAAGAAACACTATGAGACGGTCCTGGAGCTTTTCAGGTGCTACAGATTCTATGGTTATATAGAATGACTTCAACAGGAAAAAAAATCACCCAAATGAACCAAAGAAACTCCAAAGGTTACATAATCCAATTATGTGTCCATGTAGTTTGTAGCACCCTCTGAGCATTTCATGAAGAATAGGGGATTAATATCAAACATTAATGCCTACAGTAACTATGCAGAATCTTGCTCTGTATGTTGAGCTGAAGAAGAATCTCTGGTTCCTTAATTGTATGGCATTGAGACCTGAGAGTCTCAGGGAGTTAAAAAATGAAGAAGTTTGGCAAGAGAACACCAAGCCTTTTTGCAAGGAAAGGCTTCACAGGAGAAAAACCCATGTATCGCCACTTTTGGGGCCAGTTCAGAGCATTTCTACTCTGGGCTGGCCCTAGATTAAGTGACCAGTGTTGACCATGGAAAAAGAGGAGGATAGATCATAATTCATTTTAGAAAACCTCCAAGATAGCTTCTTGGAAAAACATGGCACACAACTTTTGGAGGAAAATAACTCATTTCACATGAATGTCATAGGGATGCAATCAAGCTAACTGGAATCGACATTAGAGTAAATCATTGTTCATAACTGCCATGTAATTGAGGGGTTTCAAAAATTCAGAAATGCAATACAAAGCAAATGTCCTCCCAGGAGAAAATATTAGAAATTCAAATCAAGTGTCTGGATATTACAGAACTAAATGAACAATGCAAGAGGAAAATGACCTAAGGACACACTTGAAAAGGGAATGTTTTCCCTGTTTCTACTAAAATGTAAAACTTGGGAAGCAGCAGCTCCAATCAAGCATGTTAATCCTCTTTTCTAGAGGACACCTGGAATGGTGAGGACATTAACGCCGTCATCAGGTCTACTTGGCTTCAACTCTTACTCATCTGGGTTCACAAAAAAGTAAGCTACAAGGTAATAAAATGAAAATATAGTAAATTTGGGCTAGATTCAAATATGAACCACTTTCTGGAGAGAGAAAAAAACAACAACCTCATGCTGCTTTATGCCAGCTCTCCAACTGAATTTACCAGGTGGACATGAGTTTTGTAAAGCTCTGTGACAGCAGAGATTTGGAAACATGAACAAAATCCCATCTTCAGTAAAGAGAAGGTTAATTAAAGTGAACGACTTACTTGGGAAAGAAAAAAAATGATGTAGTCTGTTGCCGCTGTTTGATGAAGACAGAGAAGGGAATAGGTGCGTGGGGAAAAGTCAAGCTTGAAAATATCAATCTATAGGCAAGAAAGGAACAGAATAGACAATATAAACTGGGAAGACATCAGGGAGCCCCACCTCTGTCTACTTCTATTGCATCTTAGAGGCAGATATTTATCTGTGCAAGCTTCTAGCAATTTTCAGAAATGTTCCTTATCAAGGACCAAAACTCACCGAGATTTCTTTATAAAACCAAACTCCATCAAATATGATAATTTAGCACTGCCGCTTTAATAGAAATACAAGGATTTGAAAGTCACACATTGACTGTCCAGGATAGAAGTGGCAACCGGACCACTCTTGTAATCTGAGGTTTGGGAGATTCCTCATGGTGAATCAAACCTGTAATACAAAAACAATATGCAATTTTGAAGAACGATCATACCTAGGAAATTCATGA